AACAAAAGTTCATGCTAAGTCTAATTTCATGTCAGGTCTAATAAAAATTCGTGTTAAGTCTAATTTCATGTTAGGTCTAATAAAAGTACGTGTTAGTTCTAATAAAAGTTCGTGTTAAGTCTAATTTCGTGTTAGGTCTAATAAAAGTTCGTGTTAAGTCTAATTTCATGTTAGGTCTAATAAAAAATTGTGTTAGGTCTAACAAAAGTTCATGTTAGGTCTAATTGGAGTTCATGTTAGTTCTATTTCATGTTCGTGTTAGCCCTAACTCATGTCAGGTCTAATTGGTGTTAATGTTAGTTCTATTTCGTGTTCATGTTGTTCGCCTTCTTGTTTTGATGATATTTAACAAATAATTTACTTCTAATGTTGTTTGTCTAGTGTTTGTGTTTTCGTATTTATTCTAGGCAAACAACGAGTTGGAGGATGGATGGAATCGAGCATTCACGATCATATCAAATGGAGGTTGGCGGAATAGTAGTTGAAGCCTTGCAATTCAAGTTAAAGATTCAAGTTCAAACTTCATCCGCCAGTGTACCAAGATAGAGCTTCGTTGAAGATCACAAGCTTGGGTATAATTAGTTTAGGAGTTTATATTATGTGTGTTAAGTACTTTAAGCTCAATATCATATACACACATATTTTATTGGTTTCTATGTATATATATAGTTATATATATATATACACATTTTGACTTTTTGTTTATCCACAAACAAAGTTTTTACTAGTATATATGTAATACCCCAACCCTTGAGAGGGTAATGTGATTAGTATTGATAGATTTGATTGGAATACTCATACCACCAAGATGCATCTTCTTTTCGGAAACCCAACTCCTAGAAACTCCAAAGTTAAGCGTGCTTGGCCTGGAGAAATTCTAGGATGGGTGACCCCCTGGGAAGTTTTCCAGGGAGCACGTGAGTGAGGACAAAACGTGCTGAAAAGACACGTGGTGGTTTGTGAGGCCAGTCCATCAGATCTAATAGCGTACCGACTCCGGGATTCCGGGGCGGGGCGTTACAGTAGCAAAGCCAACCCGAATTGTGAGAGCTAAGTGCTATGCGGCGCAAAGTGCTACGTCGAGAGGGCGGGAGCCACCTCTTGAGGCCGTAGGAGCCACCTCTAGAATCTCACATGGATGGTACGGTCTTGGATGATATGATTTGACGCAACGAGGACGTTGCGAGTTTAAGTGGGGATATATGTAATACCCCAACCCTTGAGAGGGTAATGTGATTAGTATTGATAGATTTGATTGGAATACTCATACCACCAAGATGCATCTTCTTTTCGGAAACCCAACTCCTAGAAACTCCAAAGTTAAGCGTGCTTGGCCTGGAGAAATTCTAGGATGGGTGACCCCCCCTGGGAAGTTTTTCAGGGAGCACGTGAGTGAGGACAAAACGTGCCGAAAAGATATGTGGTGGTTTGTGAGGCCAGTCCATCAGATCTAATATGAGGACAAAACGTGCCGAAAAGATATGTGGTGGTTTGTGAGGCCAGTCCATCAGATCTAATAGCGTACAGACTCCGGGATCCGGAGCGGGGCGTTACAATATAAATAAATATTTATATTCATACATGTTTTTTTTACGTGGATAAATTGGTTTAGTTTAATTTCATAGATATGAAACAAATATATATTCATATTCATACTCATATGTTTCATATTCTATTGTATTTGTGAAAATACTATATTCATTGTTTATAGACTTCATAACAATAGTTTACATCTTCCTTCAAGTCTATAAAATTATTTTGTATTATTTCAAAACATGGTTAAGCTAAAATGTCAAAACTCATATGTTCATATTTTTATGTTTTGGACTATTTTACAAAATGATGATATTTTTTATTTGGGATGTCCTTTTTGAAAACCAGTCTTTGTAGCATGTTTATTATCATATCTACAATCATTCCTCAAAGTTTTATACTTTTTAGAATTTATTTGATATTTTTAAACAGAATTTTAAAATCAGAAAATTAACTTTCAAATCTGCTTTCTCATATGTCAGTTTACGGTCGACCGCAATGGTCGACCGCACCTTTGTTTTTAACCTGTGGAGCCAACAGCAACTTTCGCGGTCGACCGTCACGGTCGACCGTCAGCTCAAAAATTCCCACGGTCGACCGTCAAAGTTTCTGGAATTTTCTGAGCCTCGAAAGTGGCTCGCGGTCGACCGCGAGATTTTCACGGTCGACCGTCGTTCACTCCAACGGTCATTTTGTACAGAATCTGATTTCCGATTCTGTTGGTTTTTTGATCATTTCTGTTGGGCTTTTGGCTGAGGTTTTGGGAGGCTATAAATACCCCATTGATCTCAGTTCTCATAGCAATCCAAGAAATTTTTAAACAAGAGTTTAACAAGGGTTTAAGTTTGTTTAGTGTTTGTTTAAAAGAGTTTTTGTTTGTGAAGAAGTTTTACACAAGTAGATGAGATCATCTACATTCCTTAGGCTTCATTTTAATCCATCTTTCCATCTTGTTTTTCAGAGAAGAATTTCTAAACTCAATACTAGGTTTGTATTAATTCTTTGTTGTTTATCATTTTCATTAAGCTAGTATTTTCAATTGAAATTAGTTGATTTGATTTCACTCATTGTTTACACATACCCACTTGAGCTTATTGTATTTATATACATTGTATATTTGGATTGGTGAGAGTTATAACAATTGAGTGTGAGCTTTCATTGTGTTCTCATCCATATTAGAGAACAATCATTTATTGTAATTGTGCTTATTGTGAGATTCACTTTGTAATACACTTGTACACCGAGAGAAGTGTGTGGCGAGAGTCGGGGATCATCCCAAGAGGAGTGGCGTCGGTTGACGAACCTAGGGAGAGGTTATATCCGAGCACTTGAGGGAGACACGTCTAGTTCCAACACTTGAGATGTAAAGTGAGATTGCAAGAGTGTTGATTGTAGAGTTTTTGGTAAACTAGAAAACCGTAGTGTGAGGTGTAAACGTTGTTCGGGAAACGTAGAAAACCCGGTTGTGATAGTGAATTTCTCCCCTGGAGTGGGGAACGGAGACGTAGGACGAAAGGTCTGAACTCCGTGATCATTTGATTGTGTTTGTGTGTGCTTTGGCGTTCATTTATATTTGTGCTCATTGCTCATATCGCCATTGTCTCATTAGTTAGTTTGTCCACTTCTTTGTTTACATTATTTACCCTTGTGTTGTTTATATATCCTTGTAGGGCTATAACTTGAAAATCGATAACCGAAAAAATAACCACACCAAAGCCAAACCATAACCGAAAAAACCGAGGAAAGAAAAAAACCGTACCAAACCGGAAAAAAATAACCGAAAACCGAAAGGTTTGGTGTGGTTTTGGTTTCGGATGTCTGGAAACCGAAACCGAACAAAGTCCCAAACCCAACGAGCTTTTGGTCCTTCGCGCTCCGTCTCGTCCCCTCTCGTCCATCGCCCCCATATCTAGGGTTCTCCCGTCCATCGGCCCCAAATCTTGGGTTCTCTCGTAACTGGCGAAGAAATCCCTTCTATCACGTGGTACTGTAGCTTTCCCTTTCCCCAAATGTTGGCCATGGAGGAGCTTGTCGCTGAACTTGAAGTGTTGATCTATCATCTACATGTTTCTGCTATTCTAGTTTTTCATCACTTTTTTTCTTTTCGAAAACTGTTATGTGGCATTGTGGGCTGCCCTTTTTCATTTTTTTTTCTTTTCTTTTCGGAAACGGTTATGTAATATGAGACATTTCTACTTTCTACTTTTTTAGAATTGTTTTCTTTATAGAATAACCGAAAAAAACCGATATAAACCAGAGAAAAACCAAACCAAACTAAACCGAACATAATTGATTTATGAAAAAATAAGTGAAAAACCAAACCGAACCGAACCGAAAAAATAGATCGATTTCGGTGTCACCTATTAACCACACCATTCAAACCGATTAACAACCCTATATCCTTGCTCATATATTTGTAATATCTCATTGCTAGGATATATTCATTAGTTCATATTGCCTATCCTAGCTCATAAATCTTATTGTATTTCACACTTGCTAGGATAACTTGTTATTAGTTTTAATTGGCATAAAATCGGATTAGATTAGCATAAGACCCTAATCACCCCCCTCTAGGGTCTAACACGTGTTAGTTCTAACTCAGTTCGTGTTAGTTCTAATTCATTAATTAGAACTAACACGAACTGAGTTAGAACTAATACGAACACGAAATAAAACTAACATGAATTAGAACTAACATAAGTTAGAACTAACACGAACATGAAATAGAACTAACATGAACTCAAATTACACCTAACACGAACTTTTATTAAACCTAACACGAACTTTTATTAGACCTAACATAAAATTAGACCTAACATAAAATTAGACCTAACACAAACTTTTATTAGACCTAACATGAAATTAAACTTAACACGAATTTTTATTAGACCTAACATGAAATTAGACTTAACACAAACTTTTATTAGACCTAACACGAAATTTAAGTCTAATTTTAATCATGTTAAATTCATTTTAAGTCTATTTTAAATCATGTTAAGTCTAATTTAATTTTTTAAATCTAATTTCATGTTAAGTCCAATTAAATTAGACTTAATATAAGTTAAATTAGACATAACATGATTTAAATTAGACTTACAAAATTTAAATTAGTTCTAATAAAAATCCATGTTAGTTCTAATTAAAGTTCGTGTTAGTTCTAATAAGAGTTCATGTTAGTTCTAAATAGACCTAACATGAAAGAGATAAGAATATTTTAGAGTTTTATATTTTTTTATTTTTTCTCTATGCTTAGTTAGCTAGTAATAATTGTTAAAAGAATGCTGCAGCACAAGATGTCACACTTTTTGGGGCTAAACGACATGAGAAAAAAGTGAAGGGCTGCAGCACATGAAGATATTGCTTTTGGGGCATTGACACAATTTTCCCAAAAAGTTAATAATAATAATAATAATAATAATAATAATAATAATAATAATAATAATAATAATAAATAGAGTAGAAAATGCTATACAGGACCAGCAAGCCCCAAATTTGTCACCGCTTCCCACTCCCCAAATTCGTCAACACTTACATTGAACACACAATATTCCCTCTTTTTAACTCTCTTTTTCTTCCATATCATAAACAAAGTCAACCATAATTCACTTTTTCGAATATAATTCACTTTTTCACTTTATTTTCTTCACATACGATTCGCTCTTGTATTATCTTAGTACAACTTCATATCAATGCTCACCTTTTATTCCTGTTTACTGCTTAGCAGGTAACAATCCCTTCAGCACCTCCTCAAGTGAACTATCATTCATAATACCCTGCACCCAGTTTGAATTGATTCTGACCTTCTCAAGGCTCTGCTTTAGTGTCCTCGCGATTGATGGCTTCACTCGAGTAGCAAAAAATTCTTCTACTTCCTTAGCTTTCTCCTCAGAGCAAAACTAAAACAATGGGGTGGAAGGAGACTGTATTATTAGCTGATTGCAATTGCCCGATAAAATAAACAGTTAAAAGTGTTTTGTAAAAATACCGGTGTTACAATAGCACTAATAAACCCGGAAAGCAAGGATCCTGACCATGTCTTTGAGATATACTCCCAATTATCCTGCAATTGAAAATGCAGACAAAATAAATAAAATGTATATGAGATGCACAAAGAACATGAATACAGGCATGATGGGTTTGACAACAATGCAAGCGTCAGTAGACAAGGACATCAACTTCATTGATTTACAATACAAAGATGGCCCAAGTCCACGATCTAATTCATGAGCTTCCTGTGAGCTATTACACAGAAAAGAATTAAGGAAAATAAATCTTTACTGCAAGATATCAGGAAGGAGGCTTCAGATTCAACAAGAGTAGGTGTTAGCTAGACGGCTAAGATTATGGTTTGTAATCAAAAAGAAATATGTTCGTTATATGAGGTTAGATGCCATGGTCTGAATTATGAGTTAAAAAATTACAGATTAGCCGCATGAATAGCAGTTGCTAATTTGTTATCAGTAAAACTGGTTATCTCACACCTAGCAGAAAAGGTTCCATATCCCTTGAAATCATCAGGTAACACAGTGATACTATATCAAGATATATATATTTCAGCGCTAGTTTTATTATGTCGTCCTATCCTAAATTACACTTCTGAAAGAGGAAATGTCAAATCCAAAGCAAGTTTCTCTATATGCACATCACTTGCCTTTGGACCTTCAAGGAATTTCCTGGTGGATCTTTCCAGGCCAAAATTCCCCTTAGATAATATTTACATTATCTCTTAACGTAGAATTACCTTAACTTTTGGCATTTACCAACATGAGAATAAGACATATTATAATCTATGTTCAAAGGATTAGCTTACAATTTGATGAGAGCTTTCTGATTTATAAGTTTGGCTGAAAACAATAACCACTGATTCAATTCATTCAAAAGTAACAACCAATTCCTGACTATATTGTCTTTCAATCTCCAAATATATTCGACATATCATGCAATTTAGACTGAAGAGAATAAGTGCAAGAAAAGCTACATGTGAGTGCAAGTGAAGCGATGCAATACAATCCCCTCTGATTGTGACAAAAAAACTAAGAAGCTTTCACTGACATGATGAAGAAAAACTAACTGCAATCATTAACATAACGTACCTTCAACCACGCCCATGCAATTTCCCGCCCTCCCCAACTAGTTCGAAGCCCATAAACAACATCTTGATTCCGAACCTTAATAGGAAAATAAAAAGAACAAAGCAAAATCACTTCAAAAACCAAAGCAGGTTATTACGAGGACGCATGTAACTGAAGGAAGAAAAACTTAGTCACCTCCGGCGACAACATGAAGTTCAAGGCTTCAAGAACAATATCTGGATCAGGGCAAGACCCCAAAGAACCTGACGAACATCACATAAGAGATTTCTTACAATTAAACTACACAGATGAAACATATTCAATGACACCTATTAATGGAAGTGTGGGGGGGGTGTGGTGGGGGGGGGGGTTCGGAGTTCACATACGTAATACTCGCTCTCTTTCCTCGCTTTGATCAGTCTCTCTGTATATCCTTAAAAGAGAATCATAACCTGACTTATCCCACATGGTGACACCCTGCATTACAGCAACATATGCTGCCTGCAAAAGCCATTTAACATTCTCTCTCATAAAAAAAGGCAATTTAACATAATAATAAAGATGAGATATTAAATGGAATAACATGAAGATCCACAATTTATTCTAATTTTTCCAAACCTGTCTTGTATCTGGAGGTAGAAGTGATGTAGTTCTATCATTCAAGAAGGCATCAAAACGTCTTGCCGCTTCCTTTAAAGTTTTATCATGTCCAAACTTCGCAAGTGCAGTCAATAGCTCCCCTCTTAACATAGCATCTAAGTGGCTTTCACCATCACGAGATTCCCAACCTAACTTTCTGAAAACATTATATTCAAGAATTAGGTACAGAAACAGAGATGTAATCATCTAGAAATGTGATTAAAAAAATAGAATTTAGAACAAAACACAATTTTTCAAATTACTTTTTTCATGCATGCAGCGATCAAAGTTCTAAAGCCAATAAAAGATGTTTCCAGGATTTAAGCAATCTTCTTGGCAAGTTAATGAACCTAATTGCAGTACGTTCTAATTTATCATATTAAAGCATTACTAGCGAATATACTCAGCATGGATATAGATACATTTCAATATCTAGGCTTCATCAAATTTTATTGATTATTTTACATTTAAGCTTTCCATAAACTGAGAAGTGAGAATTAATGATACTATTTTTTGATGATTTAGAGTATATATATATATATATATATATATATCTAGAGAGAGAGTAGACGAGAGAGAGAGAGTAAATACACCTATAACTTAAGTGAATATGCGAGCCCCTTTTGTCCACCATCTTTTTTATCGTTGATTTTGTATTGAGATTATGTGGCTAGAATGCAATACAAATGAAGGCACAAATCTCAAAGATAGCGCATTAATGTATAGCACACATCTCAAATCAAGGCATTTAATGAAGGGATTATAAAGTTTGGTGCGAACAGGTGCTCGCTGTCGCACATAAATATAGAAGGTCTCTCTCTTCTCTCTCTCTATCTCTCTCTCTGCTCTCTCTATATATATATATATATATATAATATATATATATATAATATATATTATAATATATATATATAATATACATACACGACACACACACATATAGTATGTATATATATACACACGCACACGCACACACCGTGCATATTATAGAGAAGAATGTCAAGGAACTTGTGTAGGCATCAAAACATTGGGCCTATAGTTCTCCACAACGGTCACGGTAACGAGGCGACGATGAACGTCACGCATCCAATCCACATAGGCCTAATCGACGTCGACGACGGACTGAAGTGAGAGATCGAGCGAAGGATGTCATCGAGAGAGCGGACATACGATTCGGGAATCCCGAGACCGTGATTCAATTCGGAAAGCCCACTACAAAGGACAGCAAGCCCGTTCACCCCTCGACCACTCTACAATAATCCAATCACCAGAGGCGGGTCAAACTCTTCGTCGCCCGCATGCCCAACGCACGCCGGAATCACTCAAATCCACGTCGCGACGAAGAATCTACGGGAGAACAAACAAAATACACCGCGTAAACAGGCAGTCCCGGCGCCAGATCGCAAAATACCCGCGCAGGAGGACTGAGTACACCCGCCTGCTAGGCAAAAAGCCTAGACACCCCAGCGGGTGCGTCTGGCCATTGCCCGAGACACGCCTAGGGCTGTCTCGCGCCATGGCCGAGACACGCCCTAGGGTGTCTCGGGCCGATGGGCAGAGACACGCCGTAGGGTGTCTCGCCGCTTGGCCGCAGACACCAGGGGGTGCTCTCGGCCATGGCGAGACACCCCAAGGGTGTCCGGCCATGGCCCGAGACAGCCCTTATAGGTGTCTCGCGGCAAGGCCGACGACACGCAAGGGGTGCGCCCCCCCCCCGCACCCACCCTAGACCGCGCCCTAGACCCGCTCTACACCACTGATAAATACCCCCCCTTGGTGCAACTTAGATTGGAGGAGGAATTTTGAGAGCTTTGGCGGAAGCCCTGCCTGCAGTGAAGAGTGCCCGTGTGCCTTCAACAAGAGCGAAGCGACAGGCCTTGATCTAGAGCCTTCATCCGGCCCGTGCAGATCCTTAGTAATCCGGGGCCTTAGCGTTTGATACCTAAGAATGAGCTATTACGCGCTTTAGCGGAGTATACGCTTATAGCTTCTAGATCTCCACCGGCGGATCGACGAAAGCTCTGCTTCTATATCCCCCGCGGGATAGACGAGAGCTCTGTCCGGATTTATCCCGACCAGATCTGAGTGCCGACCCGTGTGGTGCACGGATATCAACATCCCCGTCACAGCGCAAAAGACCCACGCAAGCAACGAGATGACAAACAGCTCTGCGTTTGTTGAGAGGAATTCATTTATTTTGTTTTCATTGTGTACCCGCGATCTTATAAAAAGACATCTCTTTTGTTTTGCATTGTAACGATCAAGTTGTAGATGAATGCAGCAATGAATAAGCAACTTTTTTCGCCAAACAGACCTAAAGTGGCGACCACTAGTGGGAGGCCCACGCATGCGCTACGACGCCGTCGCTGGAACGCAGCCGGGCAGCTCAAGATCGGGCGCGAATGAGAGAACACGAGCTCGATCAACAACGGTTCCAAAGAAGGGCCTCTCTTGCCTCCTCCCTCCAGATTCCGCCCTCCAAACGGCGTAGAGAAAGGTAACCTTCTTCATAAATGATTGCAGTCCTTCGGATTCAAAATCCAAGGCGCCGCGTTCCTAGGCCTCTGAGACTTAGCACCAGCGCGACGTCCCGCCTCGTCCAAGTCGTGGTTGAGATGGCAGATCCGACTCCTCTTCCGCCGCGCAGGAGATGACCTCTGAAGACGCTCCGGATTATCAAAAGAGAGCCACGACCAAGACAACGCGTCAACGTGCTTGCTGCGACAGCTCGGCCGAGCTTTGAGCGATGGAGTGGGATCCGCTATAACGTAGATCTAAAAATCCAGGCCAACGCCTTATGAGGCAAGCAACGGCAAACACCAGGCCCCATCCTCCGCAAGCAGAAACAAACAAATGGATTCCATGTCCAAAAGAACCCGTTCTTTCACCTCTCGAGAGCGAATCCCGAAGCGCCGCGCCTTGCTGTCGCATGCCCGATGCCCTGGGTCCGAAAAGCACGAGAACTGCTAAAGGGAGAGGCCGTTAAGAGATCGCGTTAGATCCGAACGAGTTGGATGCCGAAGGCCAAAACCAACCCTAAGGTAAACAGCCAGGTAATATTTGCCACTCTCCAACCTTCGTCATATTTCAGGATCGCGGAACCTTCAGTAAAGCAGCCCCACCATCACTGCGGCAGCGGATTTCCCCAAGGTTCAAGAATCCTCCTGAACAGACGGCATCGACCTCTAGCCCGGAGAATCACAGGGAAAAGCGCTTGTCAAGGCAAAGCTGGGCGATCATTGAAGGAACTTCAAAGGCCAACCATTCCAGCACGAGGGCGTCGTACACGACGCTCCTCAAATCGAAAGCTACTGCAACAACAGCCTCGCGGTGCGTGCAGGACCAAAGAGCCCGTTAAGATTTTCACCCTCACAAAGGAGTGATTCCAACGTCGACTGCTGCAGAGGCCAACAGGGCAATGTCTACTCAGCAGAGAAGACGCAGTCCGGACAGACGAACGGCGTTATATCTGAGAACCCATGTGAGCCAGGCCGATAGGTTAGTCCGACGCGCAGACGTCGATGAGTTGTAGCTATCAGGCTGGGGTGCGGATGATCTCGAAAGAGAAACCCGCGGGAAGCGGATTCTGCACTGTCCGTGTACCAAAATTATCAGGGCAGTATTATCAGTCCTGTAGCTGCCCAAGACCGCGTCCACAGAGGTTCTCGATATTCAGGAACTCCGCGATGGCACCGACCAAAGCCCAAAAATGAAGGCGTTTCCCACCAAAGAGGATCGTTGCATCGAGATGACGAACTCGCGCAGAAAAGTTACCATCAACACGGTCAACAACAAGGAAAATCCCCAATCATTATTCCAAGCTGATTCGACGCGCTAATTCCTCTCCGGAGGAAGGCAGGGTCATTTCGAGGAAACGCCAGCTTCAGCTAGAGGCGACAAGATATAACACGATCGTGGTGATCGCATGAAACAGTCCTTTCGCGCATGATGACATCCTCAGATTACTCACTCGCGCTCTCCTCTGATGACACAACGTCTAGCATAGGGCAAGCTCGGGAGGTACTCATGGTGCAACACAGATCAGATAAGCCAAAATCATGTGAAGAGGCCCTGACTAAGCAGACGGAAATCTTCACAGCTTGCGAAATGGACAGTGGCTATGCGCAAGAGATGAGACAAATCGCCGATCAAGCGAATCCGAGCTGCTGTCAGAACCGGTCTAGTCCGAGTCCAACCATCGCACCTCAGAACGGCTGCAGTCAACAGGCGGAGCGCGGGTGGTGCGAAATCGGTCAATGGCCAACGCACCAACAGAATACTGGGCGTAGCCCCACTAATTACAGCGCTGGGGATGGCACCCCGCAGTGATGATAGCGCCTGGGGGTGGACCCAGCCGAGTAGTGACAACAACTGGGGGTAGGCCGTATGATTCCATCTCGAAACTTATGCCAAACAGGATATGGCGTGGTGGCGAAAAAAAATAAAGAGCTCGAAAGAAAAATCAGCAGAGCCCTGTGATGTCTGTTCGGGAGGTAAGAGGACCGCGATTCGTGTCGCTTACCGAGAAAGTGGGATTCGATCCGCGTATCGCGGCGAAGTTCAACGCTGATCAACTCAGCGCCGTTCACGCGAAAGGGCTCGCCACTCAACATTTCTGATCTACTCAAGTCTCACTTGGGAGGTAATCTCGGGCAACGAGCCTTTGATGGTTTCGGTCAATTGCTTGGCAGCGCGCTTCGCGGGCCTGCCTCTCGAATTAGGTTACCTGCCGTCCATCAGGCCCGGAGCATCAACAGCTGGGTAGACTTGGAAAGCATGTTTCTGCGGCCATTTCTTCGCATGAGACCCGATGTAGGTGTCGATCAGGACACTCTTCGAGAGAAACAAAGGGCGGAGAGTGCAATAGATACTTGCATCAAACGCTTCCGCATCAGGCAATAACTGCAGGATCCCGGCGTCACGGTAGGAAATTCCTCTTGCAGACTTGTCAGATAGCAACTTCGTCCATTAACATCTTGACAGTGATGGAATAGAGGCCGCTCATAGCTCTGGTAAGGAGTTGAAGCTGTTCGAGGAGAACATGCTGAACGCCTCATCAGAAGGCGCGGAAGATCGCAGAGAAACCAACGATGTTAATCTTCGGATTCGCGATGCTCGTACGGCTCATGATGAAGAGGACGCTACCTGCAACGTATT